CTCTCTCTCTCTCTCTCTCTCTCTCTCTCTCTCTCTCTCTCTCTCTCTCTCTCTCTCTCTCTCTCTCTCTCTCTCTCTTCGAGTGAAAAGGGGCAGGTACACACATCGTATCCCGTTTACGGATGAGGTCCCGTCGGCGTTTGCTACACAATTCTGAATCCGACGTGGAGGGCCTCCATCGAGTGGCTCTCTCCTTATGATCCTCTTCGCCACGTGTGCCGTAGTCGAATCCCTTGGCCTGGTAACGCTCTAAGCGGCGGCAATCGCTGCACAAAGTATTAGGCCAATGAGGCTCCACTGCCGTCCATGGTACGACGATTAGTTCGTTAAAGGGTAGTAACAACGAATAGGGCGGGAAGTGCGTATCAATGATAACAAAACCCGCACTGACAAATCCAGAACACCGAGTTTTGGGAGGAAAGAAATAACGCCCTCCGATCTTGGCGACGACTTCTCGTACTTCCCGCTCGCATACACGTATCCTTTCCTCATTGTATGGAAAGGGGCGCGGCGGGGGCACGGGAAGTCAGCGCCCGGTCGGGTTGGGGTCGTCAGTCCACATGGCAACAAAGATAAGTTCATAACAAATCTTAATCATACAACATTCGTCTGACACTCCAAGCAATCAGATCAGCCAATCGTCCCTACAATCATGCTATAACAAACTCTCCGTCACAACTCACCGCATGCACATACCGAAATGAGAGAAGCAAGGTTACCATAATTCATCCATTACGATATAGCGTGACCGGAGGGGGGAGAGAGAGAGAGAGAGAGAGAGAGAGAGAGAGAGAGAGTATGGACGCAGGCCAGGAGGGAAGAACGAGTGGAAAGTAATCACATAATGTCAGGTAATCTTGTCCAGGGAAGTTCCGGCTTAGAAGCTGAGCAATCGAAATTCACACTTGAAGATACAAATTTAGGGACAGCAAAAAAAAGGAACACACTTTTCCCATAAGATTCCACCATAGCCCCAGGCCATACACTCACTCACTTCCGACTCGAACCTCGAACATCTCACTTGCACTGACGATCCCGGCCGTCACGTGCCAAATCCACCATAGCGATCGTCACCCCGCCGACTTAGCCTCGGCACGGCCCTACTCCGATCCCACAGTCTGTCGGGCGATCCACCATACCGAGCGTCAAGACTACAGCCAGCTCGTCGGGACTTTTTGACTCGCACCTTCCTTCGTACCACATAGCCACGGCTTCCTAGAAGCGGGCTGATAAGTCGAGAGAGAGATTTTCGGGAGCGCTTGCGAAATTTACATTTGCGGAAAAGAAAATAGATGCTAGGAAAGGTTAGGACTGAGACAGGGAGGAGTAGGAGAAGGCTTGGGGATTGCCCGACGAAGGTCATGTCAATCCTTTGGATCCCAGTTGCAGCCAATCAGAATCGTTGTGTATCAGGAATTTCCTTCTTACACGGCGCGTCTCATAGGCTAAGGGAAGTAAAAAAGGGGTCAACAGGGTATTTTGGCGCGGAGATCAGAGCGGGAAGAAGAAGAGCGCGAGGAATAGCGTGAAACAGAACCAAGATTCAGTCGATAAAGAAGGAGAGAAAAGGCGCGCAAGGTCGAAAAAGAGATGGAAAACGGTTACAGAGAGAGAAGCAGCGTGAGCGTGAAGAGGAGAATGTCGAAAGCAGCGTAGGAAGCGGGGAGGAAAGACTCGCATGCATGGCGCCGACGTGGAGGCAAAAAGGGCACAAAAACAATTACAGTTATTTCAAATCGAAAAGTACCATATCTGCGCGGGAGAGCAGGCGCGAGAGAAAAAAAATCCTACGCCTATTCAGATTCCTACGAAAGTTCCCAGAGCTTTCCAATACGAAGTTGAGAACATTAAAGCGCAAGAAAGGACACATCAAATTTCACTTATTCCAAAATTCCTAACTGTCGACCCAAATTCCTAGCGCGCTTGCTAAGGCGCGCATAATTCCCATATAATTCTCGAATTTGCAAAAGATAAAATTTCAAAAATTGATTCAAGGGTTCCACATATTACATCCATTAAAATACAGAAAGCGTCCTCGTCGGATGGTCACCCAAAATTCTGCAATTATGTAATTTTAATTCACTCACTCACTTTTATTTGTTAATTGAGTAGTCGACTTTTATGTCAATCATATAAAACACCTACGCATAAAAAAAGGGCTGAAGAAACCTGTCAATGACTTAACATGAGTAAAATAATACCTTCAATTCCTTGTATATTCAATAGAGTGAAACTTCCCCACTGAGCAAAACATGCCACCGGTACTCGAGTCCTCTCCGAACTGTACGAGATAGTCACCTATCATACGACATCCAGTCTACTAAAGTGTCCACAAAACCGTGCAAGATGTCATACATCACACGACGTTCCAACTTGAGTAATGAATAACCTCATGTATGATGGATGACTTCAATCAAGAAGTAGCCCGATATTATACAGTTACGACTCTGTCGAGTCTCTTCGAGAGTCTCCAACCACTCTGCGAGACATTTCTGCTCGAGCGAGCATGTGGTGTACACATCTGAAATTTTTCAGGGCATATGGCTAGCCAAAAAACAATGAAAATTTACAAAGATGATGATGTCGAAAACGTGCTCGCACACTCACTAATTTTAATTTTCGTTTGATTTTTTTTAATTTTTATTGTCAGTCTTTATTTTTTGTATTTTTTTTTTCCACAGTTGGTAAGGAATTTGAATGTAATGCTCAGGCAAACGTTGTTTATTTTTATTTTCTTCATAACATTTTTTTTTTTCATATTTCTTTTATTATTATTATTTTGGATCCAAGTTCAGACTGAACGGCCAAATGCATCCCCACGGGGGTCTGTACGCTCAGGCGTT